AACGCTGATTTGAAGAGGATGTCCGCTGAGCTGCCCGAATCTACGAGTACGCGTCTGACCTTGAAGTCGCTGATCCTTAGTTTAATGACAAGCACGTCATCGTGGGGGTAGCGGACTCCTCGCGCGTCGTCCTCTGTGAGAAGATTGGTTCTTCAATCTTTGGTCTCTTTGGAGGGTTCCGCTCCTCGAGGGCCGCTTTGCGAATTGAAGTCCGGGCTGCTGTCGAGGTACACCCTGCTACCACCGAACCTCCCACAATTACATGGATGGTTCCCCGAATTGGCCTCTCTACCGGAGGCTGTCGCTGCAACGGTTCGGCAGGCCTGCTGCTAGATTCGGGGGCATCCTTTTCGTGCTCGCCCGGTCGATCTGCTTTATTGTTATTATTGTTGTGTTGTACAAAGTTTCTCAAGTATCCGCGACGGATGAGCCCCTCTATTTCGTCTCAGAGATTATTGCGTTGCTCGGTACTGTGACCATGGTCCCAATGGAAACTACAATACAAATTCTTGTATCTTTCGTTCGGATTTCCCTTTAGGCGAGGTGGCCATTTCACGTATGGGACGTCCTTGATCGTCATTAAGATCTCGGTCCGCCTTGTGTTCAGTGGCGTGTAATCCGTCCGAACTGGTAGGGGAGCTCGGAACGACTGGTTCGGTTTTGGGTCCCGGGCCGGGTTTTTCCGGTCGACTGGTATAGAGGGCTCGCCATCCCTCTTTCTTTTCTCGTTTCCGCCCTCGGTTCGTTGGTTGATTTCTTCCTCCATCCTCATGAACTCTTCCGCGAGCTTGAGAATTCGGCCACGGTCGCGAGCTGGTTAGCTACCATGTGCCATTTGAACTCTTTGTGCGTCACCCCTCTTTTTGCTGCCGCGAGCTGCACCGTGGGGTCTAACCGCGGTATCTGTAACCATGCTTCATTGAATCGTTTGATGTAGCCCCGTATGGGTTCACCTTCCCTTTGGACTACCCCGAAGATGCTTTCCTATGCTCTGGGGCACCGTTTGCTGGTGACAAAGTATGCAGTGAAGACCTGCACGAACTGAGCCCAACACTTTATCGACCCGGGGGCCAGGTTCCTGTACCAAGTGCGGGCTACCCCCCTGAGGGTGGTGGTGAAAGCCATGCACATGCATGATTCGCTGGCTCTGGCGAGGTGCATTTGGGACTGGAAAGCGTCAACATGGTCGTTGGGGTCGAAGGACC